ACAGGCAAAAACAGCTGGGCCCCAGAGGAGAGCACCCCTTCTGAAAGACAGACCCAGACCCCCAACGGTGGGTGTGATATGAGGCAGGACAGCTGGGCCACAAAGACAAAGTCAGCACACGAAAGGCACTCAGGGAAACAGAGGAAGATGGTGGCCAGGTGAAGTGGAACCAACAGGTGACCTTCAAACGGACCGAGTAACGGCTGTAAAATATGGAATAACTTAGGAGCAAAGCAGGAAGGACACATTGCTGGCCGGGTCTAGTGGCTCACGCCTGGAATCCCAGCACTTTGGGAGGCCGAGGCGGGAGGATTGCTTGAGCTCAGGAGTTTGAGACCAGCCTGGCAACATAGCAAGACCCCATCTCTATAAGCAAAAATTTTTTAAGTAAATAAAGAATAAACACAAGCCTGGAAAATAAAGATGAAGATATTTCCCAGAAAGTAACTAAAGAGATACAGATGTAGAAGTTAGAAAGAAAAGAAAATTAGAGATCAATTCAGGAGATCCAACATTCGCCCAATAGGAATTCTAGAAAGAAGAAGTAGAAAATGGAGACTCCCGGTGCAGTGGCTCACGCCTATAATCCCAGCACTTTGGGAAGCTGAGGTGGGAGGATCACTTAAGCCCAGGAGTTCAAGACTAGCCTAGGCAACATGGCAAAACCTCATCTGTCCAAAAAAAAAAAAAAAAAAAAAAAAAAGAAAGAAAGAAAAATTAGCCAGGCATGGTGATATGCACCTGTAGTTCTAGCTGTTAGGGAGGCTGAAGTGGGAGGATCACCTGAGCCCAGGAGGTGGAGGCTGCACTGAGCTGTGATCATACCACTGTACTCCAGCCTGGGTGCAGAGCAGGAACCTGTCTCAAAAAAAAAGATACATAAATTGTTAAAGACAAGTTAGATCAAGTTAACCTTGATCCAGAAGGCAGCAGGAAAGGATAAAGAAATAGCAAAACTTAAAAGAAAAGTTGAATGACATGGAGGACCAAGGTAGCTCTGCCAACAATATGCGAGTAGTAGCAGCTTCAGACAGAACAAAAGTGTTCAAAGGAAAACAAATTAGCCAGAATTAAAGAAAGGCGAGTGGGCTTATATAGGGCCACACTGGAGCCATTAGGAAAAGTCCTCACCTTAGACCCACATTCAGTGTCTCTTCACTCACCAGCCCCACCAGTCCCCAGCCACCTCCCAAGTTGTGCAGCCAGCTCTGCTTGTGCATTCAGAAGAGGATTTAGGCACTTGTCAAACCCCTGCATATCTTGTTGTGGGTACTCAGCAGCTATGTGTTTTCGTCATCATCTTTTAAATCTACAACATTGGTGAGATACACAGGACCCGTATCTGCATCTCTGTGTGCCCGTTCCAGCACCAGGAAACTTTTCGGTGTCTGAAACGCTCGTGGAATGAGTGAATGAATGAATGATGCCAGTAGCCAGGGCAGTTTTGACCTGTGCATGTGGACATTAGAAATTCACGAGAAGTAACTGACTAACTGATTGAAGCACAAAACTGTGTTTAAAACTTGTGATTTGAGATGGGCACAGTGGCTCATGCCTGTAGTCTCAGAACTTTGGAAGGCTGAAGTGGGGGGATGGCTTGAGCCCAGGAGTTCAAGACGAGCCTGGGCAACATGATGAAACCCTGTCTCTACTATATATATATATTCAAAAATTAGCTGGGTGTGGTGGCGTATGCCCTAGTCCTGGCTACTCCACAGGCTGGAGCAGGAGGACTACATGAGCCCAGGAGACAGAGGCCGCGGTGAGCCAAGGACACGCCACTGCACTCTAGCCTGGGTGACAGAGTGAGACCCTGTCTCAAAAAGAAAAAAAAAAGGCTTTGCGATTTGCCTTATAAAAAATTTGCAACCTTTTATTTAGCGTCTGAAGGAGTTTCCCCTCTGAGTTCTTCATGGACAGGGTATCAAGGTAGCAGCTTTCTGCGGTGACTGGTGATTATCCTTTTCGGGTGTGTTTTAAGACCCTTAACACTTTCGATTTTTTGAAATGACCATTTGCAGTGGTAGACTATCTTTGCACAGCAGTTTTTCCATCGGATCTTGGAGGTTTCACTCTGAGAGAATACAGTGGGATTCGTCATTTAAGCAGCCTGGTCCTTCCCCCACTCCCTGCACCCAGCGCTGTATTGCAGAGGCCCAGTTTGGGTATTTATCTTACAGAGACACTGCATTCTTCATGAAATCAACCTAAAAATAGCTTCATTTAACTAGGCCACTTGACAGGCTTTTTCAGACTTTTTCTCAGACCAGTCTGAAAGCCGGATATTATTTCAAACAGATACAATGAACATTGAACCCGATCACAAGGCATCTGTTCCCTATTCAGGCTGCTGGGCGTTGATAAGACTCCTCAAATCACCACATGCAAAAGCCTCTGGCCACAAAAATTCCCCAGTCCCAGGACCTAGAGACAGGGTTTCCACCTCTCAGCGTTCAGGTGTACCTTAGCCCATTTTCTGTTGCTACAACAGAATACCTGAGGCTGGGCGATTTATACAGAAAAGAGGTTAAATTGGAAGGCCGAGGTGGGCAGATCATGAGGTCAGGAGATCGAGACCATCCTGGCCAACATGGTGAAACCCCATCTCTACTAAAAATTAAAAAATGAGTTGGGCATGATGGTGCATGCCTGTAGTCCCAGCTACTCGGGATGCTGAGGCAGGTGAATTGCTTGAACCCAAGAGGCAGAGGTTGCAGTGAGCCGAGATTGTGCCATTGCACTCCAGCCTGGCGACGGAGTGAGACTCCATCTCAAAAAAAAAAAAGAAAAGAGGCTTATTTGGCTCACAGTTCTGTAGGCTGGGAAGTTCAAGGGCATGGCCCTGGCTCCTGGCAAGGGCTTCCATGCTGCGTCATAACATGGCAGAGAGGGTCAAAGGGGAGGTGGACACATGCCAAGAGGGAAAACTCAGGGAGGCTCCTGGCTTTGTGATAGCCTATTCTCAAGGGAACTAATCCAGTTCCTCCAGTCTGGTCAGAGCAAGAGAGCGTTCATTGCCAGGAGAATGGCACCAAGCCATTCATGAGGGGATCTGCCCCTGTGACCCAAACATCTCCTCTGGACCCCACCTCCTAGTGTCCCCACATTGGGGAGGAAACTTCAGTACCAGTTTTGCTGCAGACAAACCATAGCAGGCTGCGTGGGTGCTGTCACCTGCGCCCACCTTCTTGGGACCATGAAGCAGGTTTCTGAAGGACACGGTTCTCATTGTCAGGCCTGTCGGGCGCCCTGGGCTGTCCCCAGGAGTAGACTTGCGCATCGCTGACAGGATGGGTCATGTCCAGGACTCTGGCATCCAATCGGACACACAGCCCTGTGAATACAGGACAAATTCTAGGGATATAGGGCAAAAGGGACATATGTTTCAGCATTCAGAGAGAGCTCACAGTGTGGGCACCAAATGAAAACTCAAGCCTGCACGCTAGGAATAGGGACCATGCCACTCCCTGAGACGGAGCTGCTGGGAGGGTCTGGGAAGGGCAGCGGGGGTGGATGTAGGAGGTGAGGTTCCCTGGGAGGAAAAGGCATTCAGGCAGGAAGCGCAGGCCTAGGGCCACAGAAGGCCTGGCGCTTTGGGGTCCCTCATATGGTGGGAGCTGTTGGAGCACAGGGCCCTGAGAATGAGTGGCGGGCAAGGCCACGATGAGGAGGGAGCCTTGGCGAGGGTGGGTGCGTCCTGGAGGCAGCAGAGTGCAGGTGCCTGTGGACTCAGAGCCGCAGCACGAGAGCCCTCAACCCAACCAGGTCCCTGTGGCTGTAACAGTGGCCCCATGGCCCTTAGGCATGAAAACCTTCCTTGGGCCACAGAGGGTCCCAGCCTGTGGCCTCCTAACAGAGGCCATCCTCAGAGCGTCCTTGCAGATGTTGGGGAGGTGGTCTGCCTGGGTGTCCTGCTCTAACCTCACACAGGCTTTTGGAGTTGGCCAGGCCCTTCTCAAAAGGACTCTCCAGGCTGGATGCAGTGACTCATGCCTGTACTCCCAGCACTTTGGGAGGCTGAGGCGGGTGGATCATGTGAGGTCAGGAGTTCAAGACCAGCCTGGCCAACATGGCGAAACCCCAACTCTACTAAAAATACAAAAATTAGCCAGGCATGGTGGTGCACACCTGTAGTCCCAGCTACTCGGGAGGCTGAGGCAGAATTGCTTGAACCCAGGAGGCAGAGGTTGCAGTGAGCCAAGATCACGCCATTGTACTCCAGCCTGGGCAACAGAGTAAGACTCTGTCTGAAAACAAAAAACAAACAAAAAAGCACTCTCCACATTCCTCTCTCAGGATGCTCTGTGTTGGATTCGTGTATTTGCCTTCAGATTACTCAAGAAGTACTTTCAAAACAAAACAGAAAAGACAGAACCTGGACAACTGCTTTTAGGAGCGGGCTGGGCCATAGCAATGAAGTTAGGCAGTCTGCACCGCAGCCCGTGTCCCCCAGCCTGCATCTCCATTGTCACCCACCCGCCTCACCCCCAGCTGGCTGCCTTCCCCTGGTTTCCTCATTCCTGGCGACACTTTCACTGCCAAGTGCCTTTTCCTAAAGTAGGCTTTCCCCAGCTCCTCTTCTCACCCCCAGCCTGGCAAAACTTCTACTCATCCTGCAAAACCCCACTTTCCCATCACCTCCTCTGCGGCCTTCCTTGATTCCCTCCCACAAAGACAGTTCTTCTCTCCCTCCTGTTTTCTTTTTCAGAGCACTCTGCTGAGAGCTCTTTTGGAACCCTTGGCAGGACACGCTGTATTTTATCTTTTTATGGTTATGTCTCCCTGATGACATGTGGGCAGTCCGTGAGCACCAGACATGCGATTATCAAGAGAGCGCATGACGGCAGCAAAGCACATCTCTTCCCCCAATGCAAGCCCACCCAGTGACTCATGGGTCTGCACGGTGCATCCCGAGCCCTGAGCTAGGAATCTGTCCCCTCAGGTGCCGCCGGAGCCGGTCTCCTTGTGACTAACCTGCTCTCTCCCTTTCACCTTCCTAGGGCCGACGAGATTGAAATGATCATGACGGACCTTGAAAGGGCAAACCAGGTAGGACCCTGAAGGCTTTCAGTCCCAAACCCCACAATCGCAGGCCCATTCCTGGCATCTTGGAAGTTACACGGCCGGTTCTCCTTGCATTTTTTGCTGACAGCTTTCCACGTCGATGCTCTTTCTCATGTCGTGAGAAGTAGGAAAAGACATAAAAAGTCCCAGGCACTGCTTCCTTGCCAAAGCCTTTGATGTGGTTCCAGCGTCTCAGGCTTCCCATGGTGAATATCCCCTTCAAAGTGGCAACTGTCTGCTTTTCCTCACTCCATCTCGTACATGCCCGTCTGGATAGCTGTGGCATCCGTGCAGTGTACACATCTCCCCACGGTGTTATCCTCGAAGAGTTCCTTAGTGTAGACGTCTCCCCACGGTGTTATCCTGGGAGAGTTCCTCAGTGTAGACATCTCCCCACGGTGTTATCCTAAGAGAGTTCCTTAGTGTAGACATCTTACCACGATGTTATCCTCAGAGAGTTCCTTAGGGTAGACATCTCCCCACGGTGTTGTCCTGGGAGAGTTCCTCAGTGTAGACATCTCCCCACGGTGTTATCCTGGGAGAGTTCCTTAGTGTAGGCATCTGGACACGGTGTTATCCTAGGAGAGTTCCTTAGTGTAGACAACTGGCCATGGTGTTATCCTGGGAGAGTTCCTCAGTGTAGACATCTCCCCACGGTGTTGTCCTGGGAGAGTTCCTCAGTGTAGACATCTCCCCACGGTGTTATCCTAAGAGAGTTCCTTAGTGTAGACATCTTACCACAATGTTATCCTCAGAGAGTTCCTTAGTGTAGACATCTTACCACGATGTTATCCTCAGAGAGTTCCTTAGGGTAGACATCTCCCCACGGTGTTATCCTGGGAGAGTTCCTCAGTGTACACATCTCCCCACGGTGTTGTCCTGGGAGAGTTCCTCAGTGTACACATCTCCCCACGGTGTTGTCCTGGGAGAGTTCCTTAGTGTAGACATCTTACCACGATGTTATCCTCAGAGAGTTCCTCAGTGTACACATCTCCCCACGGTGTTATCCTGGGAGAGTTCCTCAGTGTAGACATCTCCCCACGGTGTTATCCTGGGAGAGTTCCTCAGTGTACACATCTCCCCACGGTGTTATCCTGGGAGAGTTCCTTAGGGTAGACATCTTACCACGGTGTTATCCTCAGAGAGTTCTTTAGTGTAGACATCTCCCCACGGTGTTATCCTAGGAGAGTTCCTTAGTGTACACATCTCCCCATGGTGTTGTCCTGGGAGAGTTCCTCAGTGTAGACATCTCCCCACGGTGTTATCCTAGGAGAGATCCTTACCACCACCTTCTCATGGGTCACAGCCACTTGCTCCAAAGCGGGCTCCCAGCTGACGGCCCCCTCTTGGCTGACACTTGGTTCTCAGAGAGGCCTCGTGGGAAGTACCCAGCACAGATGGGCACATGGTGCTGGAAAGTTCAGTCATCCCCAGGAACCCCTTCCTTCCTCAGGGGCCCCACAGAACAAGAACACATTTTACTTTCATCGGTGCTGCTGTTTCTCTGGAAAGAAAGTGGTCCCCCGGCCAGGTGCGGTGGCTCACACCTGGAATCCCAGCAATCTGGGAGGCCGAGGCAGGTGGATCACTTGGGGTCAGGAGTTTGAGACCAGCCTGGCCAACTTGGTGAAATCTTATCTTTATTAAAATACAAAATTAACCGGGTATGGTGGCAGGCACCTGTAATCCCAGATACTCGGGAGGCTGAGGCAGGAGAATCTCTTGAACCGGGTAGATGGAGGTTGCGGTGAGCCAAGATCTAAGCCTGGGTAACAGAGCAAAATCTCTATTTCAAAAAAATACAAAATAAAATAAAAGAGCTTTGAGCTGGGCTTAGTAGCCCATGCCTGTAATTCCAGCACTTTGGGAGGCCAAGGTGAGTGGATCTCTAGAGGTCAGACGTTTGAGACCAGCCTGGCCAACATGGTGAAACCCTGTCTCTGCCAAAAGTACAAAAATTAACCAGGTACAGTGACATTAAAAATCAGCCAGCTGTTCAGGAGGCTGAGGCAGGAGAATCGCTTGAACCTGGAAGGCAGAGGTTGCAGTTTGCCGATTGCCCCACTGCACTCCAGCCTGGGTGACAGAGTGAGATTCCATCTCAGAAAAAAAAAAAAAGAAGCACGTACTGGAAGGAGTTACCGTTCATCACACAATCATCGTCCCTATTTCTCAGGTTTCCACCCACTGCCCCGCTCCCCTCAAGGCAAGTCTGGGGCGTGCCTGGCCTTTAGATGGTACTTTTGGGCAAGCTCTTGCTTGTTAAAAACAGGAGAGAGCCTTACCCTGTGAATATCAGTGAACTGTCTGGAACAGACACTCTGTGGTCTCAGAGGCAGTCCCCAGGTACCTAAGAAGTTTGGCAAAGTGGGCCGGGCGCGGTGGCTCACGCCTGTAGTCCCAGCACTTTGGTAGGCCGAGGTGGGTGGATCACGAGGTCAAGAGATCGAGACCAGCCTGGCCAGCATGGCGAAACCTTGTCTCTTCTAAAAAATACAAAACGTAGCTGGGTGTGGTGACGTGCGCCTGTAGTCCCAGCTCCTGGAGAAGCTCAGGCAGGAGAATCGCTTGAACCTGGGAAGCAGAGGTTGTAGTGATCGACATTGCACCATTGCATTCCAGTCTGGGAGATGGACAATACTGTGCCTCAAAAAAAAAAAAAAAAAAAAAGTTTGGCAAAGTGGACACACTTCTCAAGGTGCAGAAGCCACGCGGTGGACGCTGGTCTTAGGAGACACCAGACAGGACGGTAGGGAAAGGTGCTGACCGCAGAATGAGGCTTGATTCAGTTCCTGACTCGGCATTTCCTGTGTGGCCTTCACGGGTCTGTTAACCTCTGTAATTTCTTGGTCATAAAAAAAAATCAAAAGAAAACTGAACCTTGAGGCCATTATGCCAGGGGAAATACGCCAGTCACAAGAAAAGACAAATACCGAACAGTCCCACCTGTGTGAAGTCTCTGGCGGAGCCAACTTCAGAGGGACAGAAAGCGCCACGGTGGTTGCCGGGGACGAGGGGAGGAGGGAAAGAGGAAGCCGATGTGAAGCAGATACGGGGTTTTGATTTTGCAAGATGAAAACATTCTGGAAATGAATCGCACAGCGACATGCACGTCCTTGACGCTACTGAGAGGCGCACTGATGGTTAAGATGGTAAATTTTAGCCTTCGTGTATTTTACCGCGATTTGAAATATGTTAAACATTTTTGAAAGAAAGGAAGGGAATTTAGTGAATGCTTCCTTTGCAAGTCTGCTTTGAGGATTAGAGGTAAAATGACAGAGTAAAACGTAGACGGTGGCCGGGCGCGGTGGCTCACACCTGTAATCCCAACACTTGGGAGGCCCAGGCAGGAGGATCACTTGAGGTCAGGAGTTTGAGACCAGCCTGGGCAATGTAACAAGACCCCGTCTCTACAAAAAAATACAAAAGTTGGCTGTGTGTGGCGGTGTGCCTGTAGTCCCAGCCAAGTTCGCTTGAGGCCAGGAAGTAGAGGTTGCAGTGAGCTGTGATTGCACCACTGCACCCCAGCCTGAGTGACAGAGTGAGACCCTATCTCAAAAAAAAAAGTAGATGCTTAAATAAACGTTAGTTCTGTCGCTGCTGAGAAAGCACAGATTTGGAGGGAGCCGTGAAGTGCTGCTTTCAGGAAAGGGCGATGAGGGGTAGAAGCGAGTTCTCTTTGACAACTCACGGCTGCATTAATAGAAATAGAGTTTCTAGAATGAAGGAGGCGGTGATTCTGTTCATCGGCAGCAATGAGTCCATGGCTAGGAAATTCTGTTTTATTTATTTAGTTGTCCTCTTTGAGATGGAATTTCACTCTTGTCATCTAGGCTGGAGTGCAATGGCGTGATCTCAGCTCACTGCAACCTCTGCCTCCTGGGTTCAAGCAATTCTCCTGCCTCAGCCTCCCGAGTAGCTGGGATTATAGGCGCCTGCCACCACACCCGGCTAATTTTTATATTTTTAGTAGAGATGGGTTTCACCATGTTGGTCAGGCTGGTCTCGAACTCCTGACCTGAGGTGATCTACCCTCCTCGGCCTCCCGAAGTGTTGTGATTACAGGCATGAGCCACCACGCTCGGCCAGAAATTCCATTTCAGACTAGAAGCCGCACCGTAAGGGAAGCAGCTCCCTGGAGTGCGTTCAGAGACGGCTCCACGGCCAGGACATGGAAGGGCTCTAACACAGAAGGAACTAGGGGGTCTGAAGACATTCCCAATCTTGGGGTAGCCGGGAAAGACGGCAGCATCACTGGCAGCAGGAACAAGAGCAATAATTTCAGGAATCTGGATGTGAAAATATGAGAAGGGGAAAGACTTGCGGGGGGAATTGTGTGTTCTGTCCTTGTAGCTTTCAAGGGCTGACCAGAAAAAAAGGCCGGGGGACGGAGCCAGGCTTTTTCTGAGAGACCCCTGCAGACCCCAGCCAAGCATAGAGGCTGGCAGGAGGAAACTTTTTGTTTTTGTTTTTGAGGCAGTGTCGCTCTGTCACACAGGCTGGAGTGCAGTGGCACGATCTTGGCTGACTGCAACCTCCCTCTACTGGGTTCAAGCAGTTCTCCTGCCTCAGCCTCCCTAGTAGCTGGGACTCCAGGCACACACCACTATACATGGCTGATTTTCTTATTTTTAGTAGAGATGGGGTTTCATCATGTTTCCCAAGCTGGTCTCAAACTTCTGGGCTCAAGCCATCTGCCCACCTTGGCCTCCCAAAGTGCTGGGATTACAGGCATATGTCACCATGCCCAGCTAATTACTGTGTTTTTAGCAGAGATGGGGTTTTGCTGTTGCCCAGGCTGGTCTTGAACTCCTGAGCCCAAATGATCTGCCCACCTTGGCCTCCCAAAGTTCTGGGATTTACAGGCGTGAGCCACCGCGCCCAGTCAGGAAGCTTATTCCCATTGGAGCTCCTCCTTAGTCTGGCTCTCCAGAGGTGCCACTCCCAAGGATGCTTGCTCTGGAGACAGTGAACTCCCTGTCACC